ACCACAGACAAATATGGCCGCAGCACCAGTCGATCAGCCTTCTACACATATTCTTTCCATGTTCGAGACCTTCCGCGACGAACTGGATCAGCACCACGACCGCCGAGAACGAGTCATCAAGACGAGCAGAGATATTACAGCCCTGAGTAAGAAGATGTTAGTGCCCTGTCCCGTCCTTCCCGTTTGCATACATTCGCGCTCAAGCTCAATTCGCATATGCTAACGTTTCCAACTACCAGAATCTTTTCGTTACAACGGTTAGTCTACCGATCCAGCATCCTCCTCCCTTATGTCAGTCTCATTGGAACGGAACACCATTAACAATCCCCCAGCATCCGCACAATAAAAGCCCCCATCCCCGCCCCAATCGCCAAAGAGACCAAAACCCGCTTCGACCAAATCTCCACCCTCTTCCAGAACGTCATCCCCGACGTCACCGGCCTCAACAGCTGGCGCTACCAGCGCCAACTCAGCGGCGCCATCCAGGAATTCATCGAAGCGCTCTCCTTCAACCACTACCTACAGACTCAAACCCTCATCTCCCACGCCGAAGTCGTCAAGCACCTTCCTGCCGAGATCCTCGTCACGGAAGAAGATTACCTGTTGGGCCTGTTCGATCTAACAGGTGAAATGATGCGGTTTGCGATTACGTCGCTGTCGACGGGGACGGGCGGGCAGGCGGATAGCGGCGGTGATGATCTGGCGGCGCGGGATATTTCTGGCGCTGGTGCGAACCAGAATCTGCCGAAGCTGCCGGCCACGCAGGCGGGTATTGTAGTTGATTTGAGGGAGATGCGGTCGTCGTTTGAGTTGCTGAGTGTGCCGCGGCGGCATGCGAATAATATGTTTCGGGATATGGGGAAGAAGGTGGATGTTATGCAGAATAGTGTGGAGAAGGTTGAGCGGGCTGCGTATGGGATTTTGGTGCGTGGTAGCGAGCGGCCGTCGGGGTGGACGCCGGATCTGTCGGCGCCGGTTGATATGGAGGTTTATTGATTAGCTGCATATACGTCGTGCATCGCAGTTGTCCGGGTTGCATGTACTCATCTCCGTAACGAATCACAGGTTACTATGTATGTAATACCAAAAGTCATGACATTGTCAATCTCAGAAAAACGTGTGCATCATCAAGTAAAAAATAAGCATAAGCATGTACGGAGGCTACTGCTGTCCCCCCCATTCAAAGCATATACTCATCAAAAACGCCCAATTGCCCAATCCAATTCCATATCGATATCCATAAACCCTAATCAACCGTCCAGGACTACTGCGCCTACACAGCCGGGCACCTCGGATCCTCATCCTCCGTCAAGATACCCTGCGAGATAAGCTCCTCCGGCTGCGGTCTACGCTGCAGCTTCTGGTCAAGGTTATCAGCGAGCATATGCTTCTCGAGTTCCTTTGCGTTGGCCTGCAGCGCGGGCGCGGCGTTGATATGCGGGAGGATGTTACCTATCATAAGCAATCAGCTTCTCTGTCCATACTTCAATCGAGCATGTCGTTCCAACAGTCTCCGCTGGAGAGGGTCAAGGAAAGGGAATACACACGTTCAACAAGCTCATCCCGATCGGGCCGATGCTCGAGATGTTTCTTCAGGCTGTCTGTTGTACGCTGGCGCGCAAGTTCTGCTCTGGCTGCCTGGAGGGATCTACGTAGTTCCGGTAGGTCTTAGTACTCGTGCATGGCCATGTGGGATTCAGGTTCGGGGCGTGGTAGTTGGTGATCACTTACGGCGCCACGGTAGTATCGAGCAGGATATGTCTTTCTTTGAGATCCTGGGGGTCGGGTCGAGTCTGGAGGTGTTTCTCAAGAGAATTGCGACGTTCCATGGACGAGGCTGAGAGGGGACTCTCGTCGATTTCGGCGTTGGGCATGATGATATTGTCCATGATACCGATAGCGATAGCGGGATGTTGGTAAGTGGTGATACGGGAGGACTGAGATATATACTTGCGGAGACTCAACTGACTACTTTAATGGCGACACAGTTACGATTTCGGAGAGAACGGTTGCAATGGGATAAGAGCAGATACCAGGCTAATGATTAGTGATGAAGAAGAACGTGATGAGGTCCGAAGTGAGGATGGTGTTGACAGACATGAATGGTAGGTCAAGTGATGATGCGGAGGCCAGTTCCACGGGACCTATGAGGGTGAGTCGGCGGGGCAACAGAAGTCAAAGAAGTAATCAGCCAATGTCACCCCGCATACATCAAACGGAAGACGTCGCATCAAAAAGTCTGATTTTTGTATGCTAATTTTCCTCACTGAATTTAGAAATGAATACTGGGATACACTCATCCACTCTGACAATAAAAGAAGTAAGCATCACACATGTCAATTTGCTGACCCTCGATACCGCCTCCTTTCTGCGAAACCATTCTGAGAGTGGCATCATATTGTCCAACAAAATCAAGCAACGAAACAACAACTGCCATCTGTGTGCTTCCAGTATGGACGTGTTGAAGGGGAAGAATTAGATCTTTGGACCGTATGGCGTTGGAAAGAATGATGGGTCCTGAAGTACCATCTGTAAAGTGGAAACAAATTGAAGACATCAGCGTGTTTCGCACTGTAAAAGAAAGTCAACGGCATGGGAAATCTTCAGATCCCCGCAGCTAGACTCGAGACCATTTCTGATGCTTCAAACCCTTTCGATCGTAGTTGCGATGCAGAGTGGTACCTTCCGATCGGAACCGTGCTGTGCTCGATTCGCGATCGTCTGCCTCATTCCTGTACATGCATGCCACACGTTCGGGAGAACCCGTCTGTCTCATCCATAGGCCACCGGTCAACTTTCGAAATCCGACCAGTACGAAGTACAGCCAATGCAGATAATTCCCTTCTCTGCTTCGAATTACAACCGTAGAGGTCTATTTTGAGAAACTTGCAGAAGCCCGGTTCGCCAGTTGGACCATTGACGAACCTTTGGCTTCCCATCAAGGAACCCAGAGCTTGCCTCGACCACGATTGTTACCACGAGAAGGTCCTCGGGATGCTCCGCGACGACCACGAGATGCGCCAGCAAGGCCACGAGCGGCCCCAGCTTGAGTGCTCAAGTCGACGGTAGGCTGTTGCTTGGCAGTGGGACCTAAGGAACGACTGAAAGAATCGGGATCGATGGGCTGCGTGGGGATCTCAACCGTACTCTCCACGGGAGCTGCGACCACTTTGGGGGCAGTGGTTTTACGGTTGGTGGTTGCGCGCGAACCCCCGCCTCTCGATACTCCTTTTCCACGGCCGCGAGGCACGAACACCAATTCATCCTCGTCACTTTCGTCCTCGTACGAGAGCAGCGATTTCGGTTCAGACACCAGAGTCTTCTCAACGTACTTGCAACGGTTCTTGTACTCTCGTTCTTCATACTGGATCGAAGTTCGCAGTTGATGGATGTTCTTGACTGCAATACCGAACTTTTGAGCCCACAATCCCGTTACCCTATCATTTGTGACGAGAATGCAAGTCTTCGCTGCATTAGTGGCGTCGGGACCACTGTGCAGGCGCCATAGAATGGCACTGAGAAGCGGACGAAGCACCACAGGAACTGTAGGAACCACGGACCCCGAGGCAGTGCGCCGATGTCCGCTCTCATTCTTCAAAGTGGCCTCATTTTGTACTCCACCGTTTGCAACCGTGCGCAGATTGGACTCCTCGGGGCTTGTGCGCGAACTTCTCGACGAGGGTGATGAGGCAGGATTGCTGTGCGTACCCGCGGAGGGAATCGACGCGGCGTCGGATTCAGTCTTGAAGTTAAGCTTGTTAAGAAGCATCTGCGACAGATCATCCGGGGCCGCGCCATTTTTCTTGGTGCTGCTCTTCATCTTCTCGGCTGGCGTCTCCAGGGGCGACTGCTCCTCCGCGTCATCTCCGTTAGGCGCCTCGGGTTCCTCCTCAAACTCCGGCAGAAAGAACTTCTCCGCCTCTTCCCAATTTTCGTACTGCTCCATCGGGCCTTGGAGAACGACGCTATCGGCAGGAATATTATCTTTGCCGGAAGTGACTCGATCGAGAAAGCGGACAGCCTCACGGGAGTTGATGGCGATCTGGGATCCGGCTCTTTTCAACGCATGCAGGCGTTCAAGGGCTGGCAAACAGCAGAAAACCTAATGAGCGAGCGGGACGGAGGACGGCGTCTCGGAAATCAATGTACTTACTGTAAAGAGGGACGATGAGGGTAATAGCGCCGCTTGTGGTCCATCTTTTGATTTCGCTGATGTTGGTGGTTAGGGCCGTTTCGTCCACGGCACAATGGAAGACCTTGCGTCCGGCTGACATGGCTCTCAATGAGTGAAGGGCGACCGGGCGCTTTGATGGAAAAAATCGAACGATCAAGGCAGGACAGCGCAGTCCTACACTAGACAGCTAGCTTTGACGACCGCGACTAGGCCGCAGTGCGATGTTAGCGGGATGCAGGAACTCCCGAAGGAGGTTTGGGTCGTTAGACGGAGGCGGAGGACTTGGGAATGTGGGGGCATGAATGAAGTGGATGGATGCATGTAGCAGAGCCAGACAGCACGGACAACCACCATGTGTACAGCTTATACTCACAAGAGAACACTGTTTCACAAGTAAAGCTCATCAGCAGCATCTTGTGGTTCTGGATAATAATGAATGTGAACGGTAGTGAGCCCGAGAGAGGGAGTGTAACTGATCCTACAGCGGCGGATCAACTCGTAGCCGCGGAGAATTAGTCGATCAGAGCCTTTGACTAAGCACTAAGGCGCTGGTTAGTTAACTGAGTTACCTTGTAGACGGTGATGATGTGATCCAGAGGAAACCGCCATCCTTACCCAACACATTATGCTGAAGATTTCAAAAGAATAGGAACATGCACATTATTATTCCCTGGATTACATTCTATCGCACAGCAGTGAGGGTCTAAGTTATTCGCGTGTGCTAGCGCTCTAACGCAAACCGATATGTATTCAAGACAGGAGAACAGAAATGCTGTCATACAAATCCTTCAAAATCGTATCATGGCCACAATAAAAAAGGGTTTTCTCAGGTCGCCTTCTTAATTAGACCCTCAGAGTCGTTGACACGCTGTGCCCATTCACTAATTGCGAAGAGTCAGCGTCTAAACTCGTAGCCACAAGGCAAAGAAAAGAGAAAGATACTTACGTCCAGCTCCCGTCGTAAACCCTCCGAAGACTGGGATTTCCATACTCTGCCACATTCAAAGCAGTTTCAATGATACTGGCCGTCACGCCGGTTCCGCATGTGCTGATGATGGACTTGGCTTCATCGACTTCGTGCTTCTGAAAGACCTTGCGCAGCTCTTCAGGAGAAAGATAGGTCTTTGTTTCAGGGTCAAGAAGTTCCTGAAATGGCAGGCTCCTGGAGCCAGGGATATGTCCCGAAGACAAGCCCGGGCGCGGTTCGGGATCAGTACCAGCCCATCGCCCGTAAGATCTAGCATCTAGGATCTCGACCTCCTTTGATCCTTCTTTTCGGTGTTCCTTGGCAATCTCCTTCAACTCCCGGTACGGAATCACCAGCTTAGAGTCGAACTGTGTGAGTGGGTAGCTGGTTTTCTCCACAGGCGCTGGCTCCCCAGTCTCCGTCGGATAGCCTTCACGAACCCACAGCCTGTAGTTGTTGAGGACATGAACCCTGGGATGCCCAAATACTCGTAAGGTCCAGCCAACACGAGGGGCGCTGAAGATACCAAGCTCTTCCGTATCGTAAACCACAACCTCGTCGTCGCGTCGAATACCAAGCTCGCTCATCGCCTCGGCAAACGTTTCCACAGTAGGAAGCATATGCGGGTAGGGAGATTCAGAGTCCTTGATCGCGTCTAGATCGAAAAATCGTGCCTGAGGGATTCGATGCTTTCGAAAAGCATCAATACCTTTGCGGCCCTCGGGGTCATTGGGCATGAACCACGCGGCACATAGAGGGATTACACGCGGAGAAGTGGAGATCTTCGTGGTCGGATTCTTCTTCAAAGCTTCATGGAGTTCCCTGGGTGACACGAGGTAGGAAGAGAATGAGATCTGGCGACTCTGGTGCTGAGAAATAGCCATGGTAGGACGCACCAAGCGAGTCGGTGAGGGAATGCTACGAAGAGTCGCAAAAGCCATGCTCGCGACGAGTTCTCAGTGGGAATAATCGATAAAATAATTCACATACCGAATGACGAATATCGTGATCAAATTAGGTCAGTAAACCTCCACAAACTGGGTAGACTGTAGAGGGAAGTGTACAGATGGCGGGGGAGTCTTTTCCATCTAGTTATCTAGGCGTGCGGAGTCGGCCATTGCTTCTCCGCCATGTGAAAGAGGTAAACAACTCCGCGCTTATCGTCGCAACTCCGCTAAGATACCTGCAAGCTGTGTATCTTCTTACCTAGTTGAAACACAACGTTCGTACAACAAAGAAGACAGACTCGTCAAGATGAAAGTTACTATCAAAGAATGGAATGCCGTCGCTACCTGGCGCTGGGATATGCCCGAGGACGACGTCTGTGGTATATGCCGTGTTCAATTTGACGGAACATGCCCAACCTGCAAATTTCCGGGAGACGACTGCTCACTTTGTGAGTTATCTTCCTACTCGACTTTGGCGAGGGGACATAACGCTGATCTGTAACTATACATCCTGCAGTACTCGGAAAATGCGGCCACTCTTTCCATATGGTGCGATTGTGGATCTTTTTGTCCTCATTCTATGAAGCCGCTAACTGGATCACTTTCCTGAACAGCATTGCCTTATGACTTGGATTCAACAGGAGTCTTCGAAAGGATTGTGCCCAATGTGCAGACAAAGTATGTACACTGCTGCTCCTGTTCTTGATGTAATGCTAATGAACTGTACAGAGTTTGAGTGGAAGCAGAATGACGAGTGAGGATGATGGTATTGTCTACTTTCTTTTTTTAAGCCTTGTGGTTCTATGGCAAACGGAGTGTTAGGAGTTCTGATGTACATGATACCCTCGTTATTTCCTTTGTCTCTTTCTTCATGACTGCGAAGCTGCTCTACTCATATGACGCTTTTTCAACGACTGTGCTTTGCAAGTCACCTGACTTTATCGATAAGGAGTCGGCGCCCCCAGCCATGTGATGATGATGAGCCATTCCGTAGCTTGAGACAGATCCTCGTTGACCAGGCCAAATCAAACCACCTCAATATCATCCCGAACTCAAGGATGTAGCTGCGCTGCTGGAGATGTCTTTGCCAACTCAAACCGCATCCCCCACTCAATACTCGTCCTCTCCTCAACACGCCTCCCGAGGATTATCCGGTCCCAAAACACTATCACGACCACAGAGTTTTGATCGACCTCCTACCGCGCAACGTGTCAGCCACTCCCCGGAGCAGCAAACAACCTACGATGTGGCTGGCGATACCTCCTCTCTACAACCCGGGGATGATGACCAGCATGAGACAAGTTCCGTTTCACACCCATCATTTCAGCCCTTCTTCACGCTCATAGAGGATGCAAACACCTCCGAATACCACCACCCAGCAGTCCACTACATCTTCTCCGACGACGACACAGACATCGTAACGGAAGCAGCTCTACGCGCCCTGGAAACGGAGCAAGACATCTCTCCCGATCCATCAAAAGGGAAGGCAAACTCAGCGAACAACCAACTCCCAACGCAGCAGCCGGACGCAGCGGGAAACGGGACTGCCGGCCCGGAGGATGATGAACCCCCCAGCCCAAAAAAGGAGCCCCTCCTGCCCCCTCCTATCCCCGGTGTCCGCGACAACTACATAATCCTCGATATGGAGCTCGCAAATTCTGACGAGGCGAAACACTTCAGCTCAGATCCAGCCCGCGCTGCCGGCACGGCCGGTATGAGGTCCATATCCACCTCGCCGGTCGCTCAGGGAACACTCCTGCACCAGCAGTCACCATCTGGGCCAAATGGGTTCCCGCCCACCCAGCCTCAATTCAACGTTGTATCCGCACATAGCCTGACACCAGCATGGCAAGTGCTCAGCACGCAAGTTGTACCGGCACCGACATTCGAGAATAACCCTTCAGGCGAGCAACCGTCAATTGGTGGCTTGATGCTCAAGATCCGCGGTACCTCCGGTCTGCCTGTGACTATGTTTGGAAAGGATAGAGACAAGGATAGGGGAAGTCAACGGCTGGAAGATATGATGGAGCAGTTTGGGAAACGCCTAGGCGAGCTCAGGCAGGTTATCGAGGCTGGACAACAGGTTCAGCCTACCCAGGATGCCCTGTTTGAAGGAGAAGAAGTGGTGGGGGTTGTAGATGCCAATCCTGTTTTGGACTCAAGCCCTCATGAAGAGATGGATGGCCCTAGCAATACCAAGGATGAGACAGGCGACGACAGCAATATCTGAAGTATGTCGCAGAGCGGTTCAATATAATGAAAAAACAGTGTGACGGCTCCGTGTATCGGCTTCTCCTGCTAGATGCGTTTATTGTATCGTTGTGATCGGCCTCATTTGATACAAATACCTCAGATGTTGTGTTTATCATGGTTAAGTCTCGGATATGTGGTCGTTATATTCCACCTAGAATAATTTACGTTTGTGATCGAGGTAGCACCAATCAAGCACCGTTTCACCAAGGTCAGAACCTGGAAAAGCTGGGTATCTATGGGAATCGACTTTAAACCGATGGAATCCACGCAATTGTTGGGTTGCAAAACAATAGAGAGTCCAAAGTCCGAGAAATCAACGAAGTACAAAAAACAAGAGACAATGCACGGGTAGCCAAGGTCTGTGCACAAACTATAGATCGAATATCCCACCAGATACCGAAAAGTAAAAATCACACCTCCCAAACCGGAAACGCCGTCACGACTTATGCAACCAGGGGTATCAGAGCAAGAATGACAGGGCAACAGCTATCTGCACCAGATGCTCATACTACAAGAAGAAAGTTTTAGTCGGAAGGTTGTTGGCTTCTGAGCCTTCGTCCGCGCGATCCGGGCAGAGGAACATTTTCTCTGCCTTCCATCATGCCGGCCATTTTCTTCGTCAGCATCTTCTGGGGAAGCTTGTTATCAGTCACACCAGAGCTGGAGCAGTGTCTTTTGGCGGGCGGGGCGTCAGCTTCCTCAATCCCTGCTGGTTTGTCGGTGGACAGAGATGCCCGGCCGTTTGCTGCTATGGAAGACTTGGATTGAGTGGCGGTTGAATCATCATCAGTGTCACACGCTAGTTGTTTTGCGACGATGTTTGCGTCGACTTCCCTAAGACCAGTGTTGGAAGGAGTCGCGGTAGTGGACGGAGGTTGCTGGGCTCCTACCTCGTCCTCAACATCGTGGTAGACGAAGCCTTTTGATGGAGTGCCCCGGGTAGAACTGTCTAGAGAAGAAACAGAAGCGCTCGGCTCAGCGTTGCTAAATGGCAGGGCCTCAAGTTCCTTGGAGGTTCTCATCCTTTTCACCAAGGCATCATGCGCCTCGGTTCGAGGCAGGGTGGTTGGATACTCATAACGCCTCTTTTGAGGAGTGATGCCGGTTGGAATATACTCTTGAAGAGGGCGTTCTCGCATGTTGGTGCGAAGCTCCGACAAGGGTTTCTGAACTTCGTCGGACAGAGGCAGCGTCAATTCCTGAAGGCCCTCCATTTGTTGATTCGCGTCCTCCTGCAAACAGGTGATTCGGTCACGAGAACTGGCTAGGTGTTCTTCATATGCTGCGTAGGATTGTTGGGCATTGGACGCCATGCTCTTTAAGCTAGTCATGTGGGCGTCGCAGTACTGGCCATTCTGTGCTCGTGCCTTGGCGACGAAATCATCCAATGCGCCCATCTGTCTACTCATATCCTTCATTTGGGCATCCACAATCCGGACGGTCTCCTCGTGCACTGACTCGGTGACTTTCTGGATGGATGCGTTGCGTTGATCAAATGTCTGCGAAATCAGTATTGACACATAACTAATTAAGCGGTGGTTTCTTACCTCCCAATCGTGCTGCATCTTGGTCTTGAATTCATCTCGAGATGCAATGACATCTTTGGCAAACTGTTCCGACTTGAATACCCATTCATCAACCTGCCGATCATAGTGCGCCGTTGCTTGTTCCAAAGAGTCACCCGAAGACATGATGTCGGTCCGCACACACTCAACTCTGCCCTTCAAACGACCGAATTGTCTCTGGCGAGATTCTTCAATCAATGACCTGATTTGTGACATGAGGTGATCCCGTTCCGCTTCAGCGTGGGCATTTTCCTCTTCCATGGTTTGGGCTAAATGCGCCGAGGCCCTGCGATTCGCCTCAACAGACTGCTGATTAGCCTCCTGAAGTTGTAGGCGAAGCTGATGGATCTCAGCTTTTTGGCTATTGACATGGGCTACCATGTCCTCAAACATGGACTTCAAATCTTTCCCGAGAGCGCTGTAAGATGCGTGGAGCTATGTCGGTTAGCACTTGGCACTTGGCCGCAACACGGGAATCTAGCTCACCTGGGCATGAAACTCTGAGAACTCGCCGATGACCTCCTTCGAGATACGGGCTGCCGCTGCTGACAGACCATTCAAACCCTCTCCGACCCTGCCTTTGACTTCCTCGCGCAGAACCTTGATCTCTTCGAGGACGTTGTTCATCTGATCATGAGAATCGGAAGTCTGAGCCTGAGCCTCCCGTAACGCTTTGTCGAAAGAGAGGTTGTAATTGCGAAGTTCTTCTTCAGTTGACTGGAATTGGGTCAATTCGCCCTCGACGAAAGTATTGATCTTCGTGACGAAGTGCTCAGCGAGCTTCGAGTGTCGGTCTAGGAACGTCCCGACCCTACTGTCGACCATGCTTGTCACATCAGTAACTTCGTCTACAGAAGTCTCCCATTTCTCGCGATTTGTCGCCTCGAGGTCTGCTTTCCGTTCTAGTTTCGCATGCAACCCTTCCACATCACCAACTGTCTTTTCCAACGTCAATACCAAATCGGACCCAATATTGCGCAGTTGGGCTTCCGTATCCTGATGGGCTTTGCGTAACATTTCTTCCTCTTCGAGAGTGGCTCTTGTATCCTTCAAAACAATTTCCGTTTTCTCGAGGATATCGTTGGTCTCGTTCAACGCAGCACGTGTATCCTCATGATCTTTCTTGAGGTTGTTAAAGTTGCTGGTCAACGTGAATAGCTCTTGAACCTTGTTCCG